AAATTCGCAATTTTTTGAAATCAAATCACAGAATTAGACTGACAGTAGTGACATCAGATATTTGATTACTTCAAAAGAATGATAAAGATGCCTACAACGCAGGTGTCCCTACTTTTTTTTTATCGCTTGGAACGCACGAAAGGGAATCCCTATAATGTTCAAAGAACATCGTGCGTTCCTAGGGAGGATAGGGACAGGAGGTAGGTATTGGAATTTTTTTTGAAATTTTGGAGATTATATGTTGTTGGGAATACTTCCACAGGCAATGAATTCCAGAGCCTATAGCCGTTCTATGGATGAAGGAGTCTTGATAAAGTGCTGTTCGACATCTTTCGAGGTTGACAACGAAAGGATGTGCTGACTGGGCTTGTCTAGTTCGTCTGATTGGTATTGCTAGTGAAGGGATGATAGCAGAGATTTCCGAAGAACATTTCCCGTGGAAGTATCGATAGAAAAGTGAAAGGTCGCCGACCTTTCTATATACGGTGTTCCAATGATGTCAAAGAGTGAGTGAGTGTGGCGTCACCCACCAGGCGAATGGCTCTTCTCTGGATGGAATCTAAGAGCATCAGCGTATGTTTTGGTGCTGAACCCCATATGTGGGAACAGTATTCTAGAACAGGCCGTATTTGCGCTTTGTAGATCATGAGAAGCTGCTGAGGTGTAAAGTAGCTTTTCGCACGGAACAAGAATCCGAGTTTTTGTGAAGCAGCTTTTGCGATGGATCTGACATGATTATCCCATGAAAGAGTGTTGCTGATGGAAATACCGAGCATAGATATGGTGGGCTTGGTGGGGATGGTGGAGCCAGACATCACAATATCGGGCATACTGAGTTCCGCCTTTCTAGAGAAAATGCAGGCTTGAGTTTTGGTGGCGTTGAATTCAACTAGGTTGTTTGTTCCCCAGGCTGTGATTTCAGCAAGATCTTCATTGACAGCATTGACCTGCCTGCGCCGTGAGTTCTTTGTTTCCTGGGAAGAAATGGGAATTCTGGAAGAGAACACAGTATGGAGGGTACTATCATCTGCAAAGCTGTGGATGGGGCAAGTTGTTACTCCCAACAGATCATTGATATGAAGCAGGAATAATGTTGGTGCCAAAATTGATCCTTGTGGAACGCCGGAATTGATGCCAATGGTATCAGACGATACACCGTCCACCACCACGTGAAGCGATCTGCCTGAAAGAAAACTCGATAAGAGATGGCATAGCTGAGGTGGTAAGCCGTATGATGGTAGTTTGTGGAGGAGTCCTTCGTGCCAAACACGGTCACTGTTAAAAACTTAAAATTTCATGTCGATATATAATCTTCAGATTTCAAAATAATGTAATATCTTCTCAATATTGATTCGTCCTCTCTTCTGTCACAGAAAAAAATAGTGCATTATACACGGGAAAAATATTAGATTTTAGCTCACGGTTTTTTGTCTCCCTCCGCTACGCGTCGAAACGTTTTCGGAATGTTCGAGAGAAAGCATCAATCAAGAGGATACAGGTGAGAAAAAAAATTTAAAAAAATTACCTGTTCAAACGGTAAGGTGACGACCACAATGCAATTTTACACCCATTCAATTATCACCCTGTAGCAATGTTATCTGAAATTACAGAAGTTTCATATTGCCACAACAAACTGTCAAGAGATTAGGCTAATCACCGGTGAAAACCGATTTCAAATTGGTGGGGAAATTCGTGAGTTATTCTACTTTGAATTCAGGCTATATTTTGGAGCACGACGTTATCAATGTTGACCAGTTTATATCAGCCCAAAATCTAACGATTCATACACGGTTTTGATTTATTCGTGATTGGCCAGGGTGTAACTATTGGTGTTAATTTCATATAATGAGTGTATTTTTTGCATTAACCACTATCGAGAGTAATTACTTTCCATCCTTTTGGTGTCTCTTTTGAATGGATATTTCAGAACCCCTCTAAATAACCACATCCGTGTGATTTTTCACTATAAAGGTGTGAATTGACACCACTGTACTCGGTATTATCAAATTTCTAATAGTATTGATAAAATATTGCTAATCAAGTGTTGATTCAATCGGAGTTATTTCTGAAATCCATTCGATTGAAATTACACTCGAAAATTTTTCACTGTGTATATATACTTATCATGACGGTAATAAGTAGTTCCCATAAAACATGAGTACATGACAAGCGAACAATGAGACAAAAACAATTTCTTATATTACTTGATAATATTTTGATTTGGTTGGCAAGTTCCGCTAATACCGAGAATTTTTTATCGTGCTCTTAACATTCGATCTGTTACAATGTAAGCTGTATTTTCTATGAGAAAAAACATAAATACCATTAAGCAGAATTGGTCTCGATAAGACATAATTTTTGGTGTACTGTTACCACATTGTTTCACATGTCACATGTAACAAGATAGAAATATGTTTACTTTGACAATTTATTCCATTGTTACTTAGTTGCATGTTTTGAAATTTGATAGATATCTCGTATCTATAATGAGTAAATGGTGAAGGCGCTAGGCTGAATTCGCCCTATCAAATCTCAGAAAATTGAACAGTGACTATTCCACTCTTGTTCTCGATAACCAATCAGAATCGACCATTTTCATGGTTTCCAACTATTTATTTTTTCACATTTTGAATTGGAAATTGTTCACATGCAACATCCAGAATTCAGATGATTTTCCCGGAAATACGTTTGAAATCTTCAGCGCATTATATAGGCCCTAATAGAAAAATTCAATCGATAGTCAGTGACACTTTGCTATATGAAATATGTTTGAAAAAGAGGAATGTGTAGATATATCGAAAAAATATCAAATTTTCACTTGGCTTTGCACGTTCTTAGAACGACCTACTTCTACAATCTACCTACAATCTTGTTGAATTTTCCGTGTAGGTATCTGTCGGTGAATTTGTTAGAAAAACACATTTTTATTATTTTATTTTCTACCTCTTTTCAGTTTGGCTTTTTATAAAAGCGAAGTTCCCCAAACTACATACTATTTATTCTTCATTTTCTTGGTCGACCAACTACAAAAGCATGTTTTTTAGTTTGACGCCCCGTATATTATAGTGAAAGTGGGTAATTTGCTTGCCTGTTGCCTTCCTTGGATATTGTAACCGTTCATCAAGCCCCCTCTCCTGAAACGTCATTTCGTACGAGTACTTGTTGCAAGACACTACCGTCTTTCTGTGAGTATACTTGATGCAAGACACTATCGTGTCTCTGATATAAAATGCATTGTTAGAAGTTATTCGGAGGAATAAAAACGTATACTCGTGTTCAGTGAACATGTCGCTCATGGACGGTGTGTGCTCTCTAAATCACTGCTGCAATGAGAGCGCTTACACCGTCCAAACTGCGACATGTTTTCTGAAGACGACTGTACATTTGAGTTTTTGGTGACGGAACATTTGGAATTATGGCGGCGGAATACTATTCACCATTTAATTTGAGAAAAAAAAACACTCATCCTGAACGTCCTGATCAGGATAATGGAATAAATCCATTGAATCTTGCTATGGTCTTCGGTCCATGATTAGTGTACGAAGTTTCAAATCGAAGTGGGTCAAAATCACGTTCTAAGATTCCGTTCATACAAACATACAAACATACATACCAAGCTAAGAAAAGCGTATAAAGAAGAACTAAATCTACAATAACCATTTCAATGCCGCGGAGGATCCGAATTCTCCTTCTTCCTTTGCCAATCATATTATCGACTCAGATATTCTCCATATTTGTGATGAAGGTACTAGACTTAATCTTCTTGAAACTCTTGAAATCCAAAAATGCATCAACAACCACAATTTCACTTGTCTTAAGGATCAAATTGATTTTGATCGCAATCACATTCTCCGCACACTACGGTTTTTTAATTTTTTTTAATTTCTTTAATTTTTTAATCCTTCTTATTCTTTCTCATCAAAATACCCGCTGACACTGATTGTTCCGCCTCTGTTTCTCATAGAGAACAAGTTCTCCTCATCTTCTTTCTTTCTTTTCCATGTTTCCATCTTCTTTTCTTCTTCCTATTTGCACACCACATCACTTGTAATCGATCCTCTTGGCTTTCTTCTCTTTCCTCAATACAACTTTAGTTCTTCTTCTTACTTTTCCTTCACAGAGCTCTCTCTTCTGTACTTTCGGAACCTAGGTTGCCGATATTGAGACCTTCTGTCATTCGCCATTATCTTTTGTTCCATGATGTTCGAGCCTCATAATATGTCAGCCTGTCATGTCAATTGTTTGTTTTTCATTCTTTGCATCAATTTCCTCCAGTCAACATGTGACTTTTTGTATTTAGACAAAAACTTAGTTCTTTCGATGTTCAACTATAGTGAGTTTTTGTTTTATAGTGACAATTTCAATTTCCACATTCTTGATGTATTTTAGGTATACTGCACAGTTTGATGATGACCGTTGTGCCGAAACCGGTCACTGTTTTTTAATCTTACTTTTATATAAAGTGTGGTCGACCGACTTTGAAATTTGTGTTTTTCTTTCAAAATACATTGAACCACTCAGAGTATGGATGATTTCTACGATTTATTTCAATTCCGTCAAAAAGCCTCCCGCAAACAATAAAAAAAATTTCATTGAATTTTGATACTTTTGAAATTGTTACCCGAAAACTGTGGGTATAGTTAATCGATCTCCTGATGTAAAATCACTCAGAGTGTTCAGTCCATAATTCAATTATTTATATGATATCAGCATCACGAATATTGAGGAATGCATGAAATGATTGCAATTGAAAATACATACTTGTATAAATGTGTGTCAGGTGTCAGGTTCATACCTAATCAGGATTTTGCACATTTTTCCTATTATGTGATATCGCAAACGTGCGATAAGCCCCAACATCGGATATTTATCATGCTTAATCGAAGATAAATACTCATCAGGAAACGATGAGGTCTACATATTGATGTTATGGTATACAATGTGGTGATTTATAAGTTCAGATGTAACGATTGTTTGGAATTAATCGGAATTGCCAAGTCAGAATGTTAATTGCGAATACAGCTAAGTGCATGAAACATTCCATCTAGCAGAAGCAATCATCAATTCATTTTTTCTTGACGGGTGTTGATTATACAATTAAAATGAAAAATCGGGATTGAGTGTGAAAGTGGTAATGATATTATCGATCAGAAACCTACGACTGCGATAAAATGTTATCAAGAAGGCAGAAGCCTGTATAGTTTCTCTAGAAAAGCGTAACTCAGTATGCCCGACATGTTGGCTACTCAGACACACGTGAAAAAGTCTTTCAAAGACGAGTGAGTAAGTGGATCAGTCCAATTCCCAGAGACCGAACACGTAATTTACACAGATGGTTCGAACACCCCTCTTGGAGTTGGAGCCGTTGTGTTCAGCAGAAAACCGAAGACGGAAATCTCTGTTTATCTCGGTAAGTATGCTACAATCTTTCAGGGGAAGGTCTTCGCAATTGATATGTGTGCTAGAGAGTTGACGAATAGAACTCTAGTAACCAAAACATCAGTATCGTATCAGACATTCAGGCTGCTCTTAAAGCACTGAGCTCCAGCAAGATAAATTCCAGGCTTGTATGGAGCTGTATTGATTCCCTAGAATGCCTGGCTGCAAACAATGAGAGAATTTTCGCTGTGGGTACCTGGACACCAGGGGGTGAAGGGCAACGAGGAAGCCGACATCCTCGCCTAACAAGGAACCGAATCTGTGTTCATAGGATCAGAACTATACTTTGGAATCACCGCAAGTGCAGCCAAAACAACTATCTCGGACTGCGCGGAGGGAAAAAGACTCACGTACTGGTCTAAATTACCAGGATTAACCCATTCGAAGGCGTTTTTGCCTTAACCATCGAAAAATATAACCAGGCAGATCCTATAGAATGGAGCAGGGGTAACCTGCGAATTCTGACAGGACTGCTTACGGGACACTGTCGTCAAGATACCACCTGGGAAGGATGGGTCTGAACCAACAAACTGTCGACTGTCGGTTCTGCTATGTGAAAGACGAAACTGCTGAACACATATTATGTTCATGCTCTTGCTTAGAGACTGAGGTTCGACATATTGGCTTTACCAATTCAGAACCTATCGATCTCAGACAAATCTCACCTAATTCAACCATGGACTTTGTAGAAAGATGTGGATTGTACAGTGAACAGTAACCTCTAGGGGTGAGCCACAATAGACCCATCTAGGGTCGCAGTGGAGGAAGATAATCGCCCCACTCACATGGAATCTACCTACCTACAATGCCTGATATAACAATGTCTGATGGTACCCATACGTGAAAGCTGCTCCAAAAAACTAGGATTTTCATTTTGTGCGAAAATCTACTTCTCACCTTCTTCTCTCCTCTTCTCAGCTTCTCATGATCTTCAAAGCACAGATACGGCCAGTTTTTGAATATTGTTCTCACATAAATAGGGCTCAGCTCCCAAAAATACTCTGATGCTCTTAGATTCCATCCAGAGAAGAGCCATCCGCTTGGAAGGTGATGCCACACTCACTAATACTTCGACCTCATTACAACACCGTATAGAAAAATTGGCGGCCTTTCACTTATCTATAGGTACTCGTGCTACTCAGGCATAGGTACGGGTGCTCTTCTTAAAATGAAACCCCCCCTTCTTTTGTTTTCAAAGATATAAAAAATAATGAAGAAAAAAAGTCTTTGTAATGACCCGAACCTTTATTACGTGTAGTTGCTTCATATACAGGGTCATTTGTTTTTCCGGAAAGGACAGTAACTTCGATTTTTTCAACGGAATACCCTATATATTTTCTGACATGTCAATAGAGCTTTTTTTCTGATTTCAGAAATATATATGAGTTGCATATTTGTATGGAAATCAATTGAGTTATTGATTATGAAAGTTTCTGCCATTCAAACTGTCCATTCATATTTTTTTGTATTGAGATTGAAGGATTTCAATTTCGAAATAAACAATATCATGAAATTTCCATTGAGCTAAAACACAATATATAAACATTATTTCAGAGCCCACTATGTTCAACATTAAATGATATTATCAAGTAAAGGTTCATAAAGCGGTATCTCGGTAAACTATTTTTCATCCAAATATGCAATTCATATTTATTTTTGAAATCTGAAAAAAAGGCCCTATCGACATTTCGGAACTTCATGCAAATGCGTTGAGGGGGGGGGTCCATTTTATATATAAGAGGCGCACCCTGTATACGCTTATAGGAATTTCCTTTAGTGCGTTCCAAGACATGAAAAAAACTATGAACAACACATTCACTGATGGAAAATCAGTATCAACAAATCAGGATAGCTTCATAAAATATGTTCTGCAAATATCACATCTTATTAACCCGATCACAAGTCTCAAGAAATATTGAATTTCATCACATCATTACAAAATCTCTCAACCTCTCAGTCTAAAGTAAATCACCATCAAGACCCTAGACCTCAAAGCCATCATTGATTGACTTGACCTCGAAATTTCTCTGTACAAAAGTGGAGATTCATTAATCAAGAAACATTTGTCGTTGTCTGCTCCTTCAATTAGCCAGAGATATGTAAAGGGCGTTCTACAGACAGACTGACGTTCGCCGAATGAATTAGAACGAAATATCCTAGGTGGAGGGGTTCTCCATTGGAAGAAAATCCACATCCGGGAATACGAATGATCGCTAATTTCATCAAATTAGTGTCGAGAGGTGTACGGCAAAATCTGAACTGAAAATCTAATAATAAACTAGTATCTGAAGTTGCAATTAATGAAGTAATTCCAATATAAATTCCTCTTCGTCTGGATACACGGTTCACATATTTATTAAGATCTTTGATTGTATGATTGTACAACCCTTTTCACTTCACGAAATCGTAAAAAAATACGGTTAATCTCACGGTACAGATGGCAAAAGGATGGGTAGAACGAAGATCTGTAAGTGTCTCTTTGGGACTTTGTGGCTTTATTCGCTTCAATATCTGCTGATATGTCGATTGAAAAATACGATGAAGGTTCTGACTGGATATTCTCTCCTTTTCAACTTATGTAGGTATAGGTTTTTCGTGCTTATTTTCAGCTTGAGAACAACCATTTCCATGATATTTTAAGCAGCGTCAAAAATAATTATTTGTATGCAACTATTAAGTTCAAAAAGTGTATATAGGTATGTTTGTATCATGATGCATTTATGACGCGAAAAATTATCGAGAGAACAATTCATAAATCGGTCTAATGACAACAGTATATAAGTATATTTCATCTCAAGAAGAAATCACATATATCGATTAATGAAATTCTTAGAATAAATCATAATAAATGATCTAATGACAGCAGTAAGTACCGATATCTCATCTCAAGAAGAAATCAGATATCGATTGATGAGTTTCTCAGAATAATTCATTAAATGATCCAATGACATCAGTAAGGATATATTATTTCATCTCAGGAAGAAATCAGATTTCGATTGATATGATTCTCATCTGGATTGAGAGTAGGTATATATAATGTCGAACGAAAGGACTACAAAGATATATAAGTAGATATGCCAAGAAATTCTCAATGCACATGTTCGATGATCCATTCGAAAATAATATCACTAGTGTTTCATAATGTGGGTATAGGAGACTATACATGATACATAGTCAAAATTATTAAGTTTCATAAGCTAAAACATATATTATTTTATTCCACTGTTCTTTCCAATGAATACTCCACTAATTATCAAATAAATCAAGATTACAGCAACAATATATCATTTCATAGAACGATTTAAATAGATGCTATGAATTGTTGGTGAATAGTGCCACTATTATTTTCTGCATTTACTTGCATGCTATATGTAGTTATAGATTCATAGAATGGAAGAATATTATATTCATAATTATTTTTCAATTAGCAATATAGGCAAACGTTACAATAAGTGTTAATTTAATGAAGATCGTTATGAAAATTATTGATTTGCAGTATAGTTGATCTCAATTCGCATCTCTGCTGTGAAAAAAAAATACAGGGCATTAAAGATGTTTTTATTTGTTTTTTGCTAATAATTTCACTGTATATTTATCAATTATTATCAAAATCGTCAAAGAGGCGTAATTTTATACAGGGAATATTAGTGTATGTTTAATTTTGCATTTTGTTACAGGGTGCGCCACGTGAATGATTCGAAATCGACTGTTAAGTTTTTTTGGCGACATTTTGTAGTGATTCTTATCAGAAAATATGACTTGAATATAATTTATACATAATATAGGTACTCCCAATTGAAAATATTTCCAACAGTTTTCGAAAAAAATGTAAGTGGTGTATGTGATGTATTATATTTCATTTATGAAGAGTGTCAGTGAATGAATTTCGGTGCGAGTTCATAGTCAATACTATCTAGATTGAAACGCCCTGTATCATTTTCGACATCAATATTTTATCAAGGTATATTTGGTCCAAACAATCCGCGCTTATATAGCCTATGTCCCAATAGTTATGACTCACCCGTATATTATGCATTTCTATGAGTCTGAAGATGAAATTGCCAAGTAAATACTTTTTCAACTTAGCTTCCTGATTTATCATTACTTATTATAACTAAGTTATATCACATTGAATATGCCCAGCAGTAAATAAAATATTAAGGAATATATCGATTTCTCGTGAACTAAGCGCAATTTTTCATTTATGACTGACAAATTTCACCAGCATTCGGAGATAAAGATTAATAACGAAGGGAATTTCTCTACTTTGAGCCCGTTCTCCTCATCGAAAATTTTGTCACACTTTGATTACTAATTAGTCTTCTAGGGGTGGCTCTCCCTTATATTTTACCGATTCCAACCCTTTAAAACAGTCCTTTGCATCGCAACCCTTCGTTCCAAATCAACTTCTCCACTCCATCTGCCTCTGTACTCGGTATTATTTCCTCCGTATCGGCATCAAAATGATACCAATTCGGCCAATTTCCAGAGGGTGGATAAGACAAGCAAGAACGTCGTGCTCGTCCGAAAAATCAATACCTCACAAAATCATCACATGGACCCATGCTTACTTCCATATACACACTGAGATTCGCCCTCTGAATGACATGAAAATATGTAGAAACACTTCTAAATTAATATCAAGGGACACATTTCGAAATTATCATAACTTGGTGTAACATTAATCCCTACACCCCTGGAGTAACGTATAAAATAATCTTTGTTGGTAAGTATTCAGGTAATCATAGAAGTAGTAGTAGTAGTACTTGGGGAGGCTGTAGCCAAGCAAGTAGGCCTCGATGTGCTCTTTTTGCTTACCCCTGCTCTCCACATATCTATACGCTCCCTTCACCTAGATTTCCTTCACGAATCTTCCTGACCTTCAGATGAAGGCCAGTATGTCCGTTTACTCTGATATGATCAACTCCTCCTGTTGGAGTTTGTCGACTCCAAAGATTTCAAATCTCAGCC